ACTGACTTCTTATAACCAAGGATTTGTATAGTAAGAAGATCTTACTATACAAATCCTTGTTATAACGAAATATTATTTCAAAATTCCGCTTCTATCAATACTTGAAAAAAAAAATAATCGTGTTTTAAATTTGTGATTCAATCGTAGGTAATGCCCCTATAATAAAGACACATCAAAACACCAATTGATAGATATTGTTAGCATATAGATATAAAAAAGAAGATGTGGTATGATTGCCAATTAGACAACTCTCCTCAAGAGACCAAATGACACAGAAATTAACAACTATATGTCACCGTACGACCTTCAACAATGAGCAAAGCCCATACCGCACAGTCAGCTATAAAAGGCCCCGAAATGACAATGTCAAACAATTCAAACGAGAAAACTAACGGCCAAATTTATGAACAAAAAATGAACGAATAACAAATATGTAACACATGAACAAACGACAACCACTGAATTACAGGCTCCTGACTTGGGACAGGCACATACATACAGAATGTGGCGGGGTTAAACATGTTAGCGGGATCCCAACCCTCCCCCTAACCTGGGACAGTGGTGTAACAGTACAATAGATAGGTTGTTTATTTTCTGTAAACAATTATTTATGTATTTTCAAATATACAAATGGTATTTATCCACTTGAACTCATAATTACGAAATAAAACATTTATAGCGGTTAATGTCCTTTAGAATTTCAAATTATCCACATTTATAATAAACTGGATGCATATTTCTTTCTATTGTTACTTTCCTTTCCTTGATTGAGTGTACATTTCTCAGTTGATTTGATAAACATTTAATGAATGTTTTGTCAATCTACTGATCGAGATTAAAAAGATGGACGTTTGAGATCTGATTAAATAAACAGTTTAACCCCGCCACATTTGCACGCGCCTGTCCCAAGTTAGAAACATTGTCTTTATTCAAATTGTCATATGTCAGATATACATGTTAATCGTTATGTGGAGAGTTTGGATATCAATAGCAGGTCTTTGATTGGTTCTGTTAAATTTATTCATAATTTGGTTCACCTCGGAACGTTTCAGAATTTGACATAAAGTATGGACACTTGTCTGTTGTTAAAGATTGTATTGGTTATTTTTGTCCCTGGGATGATGTATCATCGACCTCATATTATTGACATATAACTACATCTCCCTTTATTCATATTTTAAATAAAGAGGATGATCTTCTAGTATTTGATGCTTCTCTGTAAAGGATGCGACACTCAGGAGTAGAGTGCGAAGTCTAGTAAGCTTGGAGTCAGAATAATGTGTTACCAGATAGAGTTAAATATATTCAAGTCAGCTGTTTCTGTCTGACCTAATACAATTAATATATCAAGTTCAGCGGATCAGTCTAGTGCAAAAAAGTTTCTTGTTTATATCAGTAAATGTGATTGTCATGAATATGAAAAAGTTGCTGCTGGACGCTTAAGCATTTCAATCAGTTACGTTTTTCTAAGTTACATGCATGTATGGTGAAATCGTGAAGTCCTGTCCAATTTTATTTGGTAGATAGCAGTAGTATAGCTTGTATGCTTAAGCATCCACATCTTGAGCATTATTCATCATACAAAATTATCCCCTTCCCTATTTTCCATAATGGGGGGCTTCCACATCCACTTTTTTTTTATCTGCTACGCAAAAGGATACACGAGGCTGTGGATTGAATTTCCTGTCGATATGAAAATGTTTTAGGAATTTTCTTTATTATTAAAGACTTTTGGAACTTAGTCATTTTTCAGGAAAATTTACAAAAAAAATGGTACGTATTATGAGTACCTAATTTACTACATTTGTTTTCATCCAAGATCCTTGAAACTTCACAGATAGATTGCCCACATGTATAAGTTGTGTACCTGCTATTATGGAATGTGTTTGGGGATTTCAGTTTCTCCGCAATCTATAGTTTCCCCACTTTTTTTTTCCTTTGTAGAATTGTTCACAAAGATTAATATATGATTATTATCGTTGTTCTCTCACAACGTCTATTGTTTTAATAGTTTTTATCATTACCACCAACTTGAATTCGCTACTATAATTTTAGATTCATTGAAGTAAGGCTGAAATACTTCTTTTTTTATTTTTCTTTAATAAAATTCAATTTAAAATGTACGTTTAGCATTGCACAAGGCAATTCAAGTTCTTTCTGCACAATCTACTCCGAAGTTCAGTCGCCGATAATTAAATGCAGGAAGGCATGCTTTATATTGAAGCATACAGATTATAATTAAGTACTTTGAGTTTTTCAATAGCATTCTTTTATCAAGTTTTATTTAACATTTGTTTGCTTGCACCTGTGTTTTTGTTGTCTATTATGATAAAGAGTTATACCCGCAGATATTTAGACAACATATTCTCTGTAAAGGAAGACTTAAGGTTTTTCTTTTCTTATTCTTAATATTTTTCTATCTGATGGCAATGTTCCTTTGGCTCTTTCTTATATATGGACCAATCTAATTAAGATATAGACATCTAATTTCGTTATATAACTTATATGTTCGAGCACGCGAGTTAATATGCGTCTGAATTTTAATCAGATAGTTACATTTCTCAGATCGTAATTCATGTTCATGTTTGAATTGGAGTCTCATATTTCAAAGAATGTACCTTTTTATAACTTAATATAAATAAGAAGATGTGGTAAGAGTGCCAATGAGTTAACTCTCCATCCAAGTCACTATGTATAAAAAGTTAAAAATTATAGGTAAAGTATGACATTTAATACTAAGCCTTGGCTCACACCGAACAGCAATCAAGGGCCCAAAATGACTAGTGTGAAACAATTCAAACAGGAAAACCAACGGTCTCCAATCTGGAACAGGTCAGTCATTTTCTGGCATTGCACGGGGAAATTTTTGTATTTACCATTTTCAACAGGAATATAGATATCAAAATTTGTAAAAACACTTTACATGTATCTAATATTATCACAAATATAACGGACATAACGGACATAACGATCATTTAAGTTATGATGGCGTCCGTAAAATTTTCGAAGGGATGACCTCAACTTTACCACAAAGAACCCTTCATCCAATAGCTTCCTTGCAAGCAGTGACCTTTTATCAAGAAAAAAAATATTGATAGGAAACTCAATCCCTGGAATATCGTATCAAATAAGAGGTATACATGTATACTCCATAGTGTATGCAGGTACTGCTGGGAATGTTGCTACACAGAAGAGGAAAATTCAAAATAGGAAAATTTCAATCATCTCTGTTGTCGAAAAGTGTATGTATAGATGTAAGTAAATATATGGGGCAGACTTTACTGTGTTTGTAAAATCCTTTATTTCCAGTTCATTGTGATACATGTAGTCAAAAATATTCAGTGATAGAACATCATCTATATAGCGGGAAGTGAAGGATAACGCCAGCTTCTTTTTATTTTTATAGGGTGATCGGGTATGAGTCTGCCTCATGGAAAAGGAACAAGTCGCCAATCAGTGGCATACTTAGTGCCTTTATGATAGGAATAGGGATTGTCTGTTGAAAAAAAACCGCGTCCTACAAACGTAACAAATAATAAATATGTTGTCAATAATAAATCCAACATTTTTTGACCATTTTAAAAATTTACACACTGAGAATAAAAAAAAAAACCACACACACTGAGATAAAAAAAACCTAAAAACACACACTGAGAATTTGAAATTACACACTGAGAATTTAAAATTACACACTTTTTATGAGCACCGTTATCTAATTAGCATACTAAATCTGAATCTACTACAAGCTTAAATCAGCTAGGTAACATAACTCGTTAGTCTTTTCAATTTTGCGCCAAATGTTTTATAAAAAAAAACATTAGAAATACAATGTAAAGAAAAACTGACTTATTACAGACCGATAGAACATGATACCCACTTACTCTCATTACAAAATATAATCAAATGGCGAAAAACTTTATCTAGTTAAAATTATAAGATAAAATCGAAACAATCGGAGTTCGGGAGTCCACGAAATTAATCTGTTGAATTATTCATCTCATGAATATTCATTAGTAATGTGCATATTAATCTCAGTGTGTATTTTTGAAATCTCAGTGTGTAATTAACAATTCTCAGTGTGTGTTTTTCAATTTATTTCATCTCAGTGTGTCTATTTAAAACCTCAGTGTGTAATTTTAAATTCTCAGTGTGTGTTTTTCATTTTTTTAAATCTCAGAGTGTAATTTTAAAATCACAGTGTGTAATTTCGGTTTCTCAGTGTAAATTAGGTTTTTAAATCTCAGTGTGTTTTTTTTTATTTCTCAGTGTGCAATTTTTTTTCGAAAAAAGGGTTTAAACATAGTTTTGACGAGAACGGCTTGCCATAGATGTCAGTTTCAGTTGTAAGAAATCTTTTTGTTTTGTTGCTCTTTGGAATACATATAGAGTCTACCAGATCACCTTTCAGAACTTAATATGGTTGCACACATTTTAGAGACATTGTTCAGTATTGGAGTGATTAAGCCTGACTGTTGTTCTGGTTATAAATAATTCGACACATTCTCAAGGGGGTTTGTCTCCTAATTAGTTTGCAATTCAAAATCTAAGTTTCATTATGCAATTTTTAAATTAAATTGTTCTTATTGATTATCTTAGTGCTTTTTCCTCAGTTTTGTGTGCGCTAGAGTTGTCACGGCTTGTTTAATTATAATGTAATTTCATGCTGTATTCTATTCAAAGTGTTTTATTGTTCAAGTTGAAACATCGATCGTTCATTTAAACAAAAGGATAGGACAAAAGCCAACACTAATCCTCATCTCACCCAAAATCTTATCTATTTCGTTACATTAATTGATTGCATTACTATAATTTTCGTTTTTGCTATACTTTGTAGTGCGTTGTTTATATAATTTGTTCAATATTTTAATACAGGTATGGTATGGTGCGTTGTTGAAAAAAAATGTTTTGGTCTTTATTTATATTTCAAATGATTTTATTGAGTAACAATCTTACTTCAACTTAATTGACAAAAATATCCCAATGAGGGATAGTGTTGAGACTGACGAATACTGTTTGATGCATTGTGGGAAATGCCGTTGCGACAACAACAAAGACGCCTTACTGATTTTAAAAGCAATATTTACACAAGAAGAACCATCTGATATCTAAATTATTTATCACTGTATATTGACATACACAAACATTGCATTCAGATTATAAAAAGAATATTTGAAAAGGCCTTAGAAATCATTTATAAAAGCCCTCATCTATCAATACATATAATGGAACATGTGAAAACTACTGGTAACGATATGGACGATTTCGATGATGCAGAGTTAGAAGAATTATATAGCTGGATTGACGGCATTCCACTGTCCAGACCAAAAAGAAACATAGCTAGGGACTTTTCTGATGGCGGTAAATATGACATTTTAAGTAGTTGAAAGAAAAAAACAATCTACCTACAGACAGAGACACATGTATACTATAACATGATAATTTGAGTATACATCTATTAACACTTTTGGCATTTAGTTGAATTTTGTCTCTGAATGACCTCAGATCTGCTCTGAATAACCTTCTGACGTCAAGCAACAATCACTTTTCCATTGTGACTTCAAATTTTTTACATTGTGCCTGTACGAAAAAATCCAGGCGTATTTTACATGGATTCCAGACGGAAATTTTAGAAGGAATCTGTTTAAAGTCCCCCTTTACACGAAGAATCTTTCTTACATGGATTCCAGGCGGGTTCAGGGCGGAATAGGGCCGAAATATGCAAATTTATCCGCCTGTCTTAGGGGGGAAAAATTCCGTCTGATTAAAAGGAAAAATGTTTTTCTCAAAAAATATCCGCCTAAAGAGACGGAAAATATATCCGCCTAAAGAGACGGAAAATATATCCGCTTTTAGAAGTGAGAAAAAAATCCGCCTTAAAAATTGGAAAAAAATTCCGCCTTAGAATATGAGAAAAATTCCGCCTTAAGAATATGAAAAAAATTCTGCCTTCAATGAAGGAAATTTTTCATTCCACAGATCCAGGTTTTTACCATTTCTATGCATTCTTGCAAAGAAAAACTAGGCCTTCATACAAATAAAATAGTAAAATTGTTATCAAACTTGATCGACTGTATTTAAGCAACTACAATTTACTACATGTATAATATTGACATTTTTAGTTCTTCCCAATTTCTTCATTTTCAGTTATTAGTCATATTTTAATGTCTTTTCAGTGTTCTTCGAATAAAAAGTATTATCACAATTTCCTTAATTTCTTTCGTGCATAACTGATTTGCTCTGTAACAGCATCATTAATCTGACCATCTTGTATGCATTTGTTGTGTTTTGTGCACCAAGCAGTTACATAAACTGAAAAAAAAAATGAGGACATAAATTAAAATTACCATGCATTATTGGTTAAATTAAAATGAATTTACCAAATTTGTCTATGTTAAACAGGTAAATTGTGAGCTGCATAAGTAGGTCGGGTGTCTTTTTCTGAGCATCCCTTCATTGGTTTATTTGGTCATGTGTATTCCAATATATATTTTGTATTTTTTTTTCACTATTTTGACATATTGACTTGAATTTACTATTTTTACCATATATTATTCAATACACAACAGAAACATTTAAAACTTGATATTATAAGATTAAACTATAAAAAAATAAGAGTTGTTAGGCAATTGTTTTAAAATGTAATTAAATTTTTAGAAAAAAAACCTTGTAAAATCAAGGGCAGATAATTATAATGAATTTAATTTACTCAGGACCTGTTTTGGGGATTTTCTGAAGAAAATAAGACCTGTGGGCTGTGACCCCCTATTTCAATTTGCTAATTTGGATTTTATGTGCATTTTAAGCATCATAGATTATTTCAAATTGTTGTGTTTAAATAAAAGATTATATATCATGTTTATATCTAAAAAAATTACAGATGGTTTTACAACTTTTTTCAAAATGTTTTGAAAGTCCAACATGTGCAAATTCTACTTTAAAAGCATTTTAAAATAAGGATTTCTTTCGTATAAAACTACTTACTCAAAGTCTGATTGTGTTTCCATTCTTCAGTCCTATCAGAAAACATTTTGAAAAGATTATATTAAAACTAATAGTCTGCGCATACATCATTCTTTAAATTTTCTTTTCACCAGTTCTGAAATATAAAAAATTGTCTGATACTAAATATTACCATTATATTCAGTGCATGAAGTGTATAGGTTGATATTCTTTACTTTGATTAATATTTGTTTTTCATTTTACTTAAACATCATACAGTTGTAGGCCTATATTTACATGTAAGTCTTGCCCATTTTTAAAATTTTAAATTTGATCCATAATTGAGTACTTAAGTTAAAGATAATACTTTTTGCCTTTTGTGGATAGATGTCTATATATTTAATTATTGCAGTCATATCACAGATCTCCAATTTTGCCAAAACTACTATAAAGAAATATTTTATAAAAGAGATTGTCTTAAAAATATAAGTCTTGTGTGTACACTGAATACCATAATAATTATTTATATGCAAAAAATGCATGGTCTTATAGTTATTTTCTTAATCCTACATGGTTAAGAAGATACTTTATATATGTCACATTTTATTTGAAGGAAATAGCAGTTTCAAAATATTCAAAATGGTGGAAATACTTATTCATAATTTGTACTTACCAAAAGATTTAATCCAAAATATATGAAAACATCAATCTTCCTAAATCCAATAGTCATGTCATCAGAAGAATACATCTGCACTTTTTAATGTTAATAGAATACTTTGGAACTTTTTAGTCTAAACTCTACATCCATTGTAAAATTCATATTTTGTTCATGATAAATTAGACATCTTTGCTTGTTGTCTGCAAGTTCAAATTTTGAATCTGTTGGGGTTGTTTAGGGAGTTGTTTGAACTGTTTCCCTAATCATACTATTTAAATTACCTAAATCTTAAATATTTGATATATATAATAATAAATAAAAAATATTCACATGATTTTATCTATTTTCCTTATATTTTAAGTTGTAGAAATTTCAGAGAAATGTACAAAACAATGTGGTCTCCTTCACTGGGCCCCAACTCTTTTGTACATCATTTCCTGTCAATATCACAGAGATAAATAGAAACCAGATGGCACATATCATTTCTATCACTAATTGATAAGAAAGAGACTGCATGGAAATAATTTTTGTGTATACTAATTAATTAAATAGAGATACTTGAAAATAAATTAATTGTAACCTGCAATTCATTTAATGGAAAATTCAAAAATAAATTATTGTCTGAAATTCTGTAAGTGAAATAATTAAAGTATATATATATATATATATATATATATATCTTGTCACTTTATATAATGTTTAAGTGCATTATAGATAGCAACACATAACATGTAAATCTATTTTAAAGTGAGTAATCATTTCAGTAATCAAGATTAATTAAATTACACAATTAAAATTATAAATTACCTAACAATGCTATAAATTTATAGACACTATTTAGTATGTAAATATTAAAAAGTAACCAATGCAGGGATTATAATTGGCTATAATTTTTTTTTCAAATTCATAATTGAATAATGCAATCACTTTACATTAAATGTTAGATTTTAGGGTGGTACAAACACTGGATTTACTGCCCAAATAATCAGCACTCTCTCATTACTATAGAATTTTAAAAAAAAATTCAGTAATGATATATTTTTCATTTGAAAACATAAACAGAAAGAAAATTTCTGCCTGATAAATTTGACAAAATTTTCTAAGTACAATTCCCGCCTGATAAATTTGAACAAAATTTTCTAAGTCCAATTTCCTCCTAAGAAACTTGAACAAATCTACTAAGTCCAGCATTCCGTCTATGATATTTCTTTTACAACAGAAATCCTGTTAACTCAACAGGAAAGTAGTAAACATTTCGCCTAAGGTCTATGATACTTAAGACGGGTTTTTTTCTATATTCCATGTCCGCCTTAATTCCGTCTATAAGTCTTAATTTTTAGGTGGATTCCGCCTGGGTTCCTGCTATTTTTAAGCGGAATCCACCTAATATTCTCATACGGGTGATTTCAAAGTTTACGGTAACTTGTGTGATTTTATGTAATAGTGGAAAAATTTGCATACAAGTGTAAATACCTCTATGGTCTAGACATAGTATAGTACATACAATGCAGTCTGTGAAATCTGTCCACATAAGGCTTTGATTAGTATTTCTGCTTAATTATAAGCAAATTGTATCAAAGTTGATGTATATCGATTCACTCACAAATCAATTTTACATAGTTTATCTCATTTCCCCAAAAATACAGTCCTCGAAATTAGCACAGGACCGAAGGACATGTCCTGTAAAAATATATTCATATTATTCGGTCCTGTCGATTTTTGTTAATTTTGTAATACATTCTTAAGAAAAATTTGAAGAATCATCAATTCGGTCCTGTAAATGCCAAACCCCAATTATTCAAAACTCACAGTTATGTACAAAATGTATGGAAGGCTAGTTTTTCACATATTTATGAAAGGAAAAGGTGATATACATTGTATTATAATTTATTAGACCACTTATGCCAGACAATCAAAATCGCTACTGTATGCAGTATATATGTCTCTGCTACAGATACATGTACATGTACAAATGTACACATGTAACTACAAAATTTATATAAATATACATTGCCACTAAGTCTCGATAGTTAGTCCTTATAATTATGAAGTCTTGACAGGTTATTTTTAATATTTTCCTGTAATTCCTTTCTTCAATCAATGTCCATGATGTCATAACGTTGAAGCAATTTTTTTTTCCAGACATGTGCTATTTTTAATCTTCTTCGAAGAAAAAATTATGAGAAGGGATATTTGATATGATTCATCAATTTTAATAATGTGAAATTTGTGAAAATTTTATTCTTTACAGTATGACATTGAGTATTTAAAGGATTTAAAGATCACTTATTTAAGTAATTCAGAACCATTTTATGAGCTAAAGTATCTTTAATACATATATTGTGATTATGGTGATTGTTAATATAAAAGAGCAATATTTTTTTCATAACTAATTTTGAATTTGAAAAACAGAATGTCTTATGCTGCTGTATAAATCATGATAAATCAATGGTCCATAATTAAAACCATTTTTGTTATATTTAGTTCTGGTAGCAGAGATTGTAAGGCAATATTTTCCGCAAATCATTCAAATGCACAACTACTCCCCTGCAAATTCCACACCTCAGAAAAAGGAGAACTGGAACGTGCTAAACAGGTATACAATATTCTGCCGTGAACCCACGCCTTTCTCTGGTTTTGTGGCTAGTCAGACTAAACTACAATGCTCGTGTGCTTTATTTAGTTTATTCACTGAAATTATTTATTTTTCTGATTTTGGTTTTTATATATTCAAAATATTAAGACAGAGTTCACTTGACAATCATGAAAAAAAACCACTAAGAATAAATTAATTTTTTTCAAATTTTAGACTGAAATTTTTTTTGTTCTGCTTTGATTATTTAAAATGATTTATATCATTTTCCTTTAAAACAAGCTAAAACTTCATGTGTACATGTGTGCATGCATAATGATATGGAACAGAGAGATCAAAATGTTTTTTCAGTACATTGCTGAATACAATACGAAAAAAAACTATTTTGATGACCTTGACTTCATGTTTCAGAAAGATACGCTCAAAGTTATCCATTTATTTAAAATAATAATTATCACGATTATGCTAAAAGAAAAGATATTTTCTAGTTTGTAAATTAAAGTTGGTAAAATGATGGTCATTTTCCATGTGTAAGTATAATTGATTCAAGTGAACTCTGCTTAATAAGATGTTTTAGATCTAAAAATCTATTGATGTTAGTTTACAGATTAAAGAATGGTTTAAAATGATTTGTTAAGAAATCATTGCACATTAGATGATTGTTATTACAAAAATGTGCAAACACGACACATTTTAAACCCTTTTATGTATCTCCTTAATTGATCATACAATGTACACTCAGCAAATCTGACTTTCTTTAATTATTTCCTGACCATTTAACAAAATCCTTTTTAGAAATTCATAAACATGCATGAGCAGTCTAAAATTGAAGTTAAGATTATTTTGCAATTTTTCAGTTGATAGGAAAGTGACTTGACCATCTATATATGGTTGAGTGGTCTAGGGGTTAACATCTATAATTGTTCAAGTTCATACAGTTTTTTGTCAAGTTCGTACAGTTTGAAATAAGATGCTGCATCAAAGATCAAAGAAATTATTTCAATAATAGACTGTTCATACCTACATTGTACATACTTGTACAAAATTGTTAATGCACTTGTCTAATACTTATTAATACTGTACTTTATATTTCAGTTTTAAATGTCCTTTTATTTATTTTCTTCTGATAATTTGCACATTTATTTAACCACATATGCACATCATAGACAGCTGCTTCAAATAATTAGAAATAGAAATTTATGAAAATTGCAGCCATGTTTAAGTAAATCACTCTTGTGGCTCATGTCACAATAACACTGTTTCAAGCTGAAGCAACTTTAAGCAATATTTAATATATTTGATACATCCTGGAACCTCTGGTAATGAGGAGATAACTATTGTTTACAAAATTATCATTCTGGTGTACAAATACTTGTTTTTGGAAAGAATGAATCACTGTCAGACTCTGTTAAACGTCTGTAAGTATTATTATTTCCTTATCAAACTTATTTGTTATTGCTTTACTTGAAAAGTGACCCTTCAAAGGTCAGGAAGCTCAGAAATGAGAAATTGCAAAAGAAACCAAGTATTTGTATGAAAATGGACATAAGTTATTGATGCTCCCATTGTTAATTCATGTACCTGCACAGGTTTGAAATATTCCTGATACATTTGTAGTAGAGAGATGAAACAATTTTCAAAATTATCAATTAAGCAATAATGAAATTATTATTGAGCTGGTTTATTTGTACACACAATCAGTGACATGTACAGAATAAAAAAAATTGTGGAATGAAAGTTAAGCAAGATGAAAGGGGGATGGAAGGTTGAATTTAACTCTTTACTTTATTTATAAAAAAATAAGAAAAAAGGGATAACTTCAGTCCACTGAAATCTCCCGTGTTAAACTGCCTCACATAAATAGATTTTGTCTTAAGTAAAAAAGAAAAGCATGGCATGCAAGATTGATAAATCATACCAATTTCATCTTTGAATCAGCTGTTATGTGTACATATGTCTTCTCAAAGGGAGATAACTTTATCTGAACTGTTTTAACATTTGGTGTGTTCCTCCTCTTCCAGTTTTGGTAGCAGAATTAGTAAGGCATTGTTGTTCACAAAAAGGTTTGGTTGACCTTCACAACTACACAGGTGCTAACAGCACAAATAAAAAAGAAGAAAATTGGCGTTTAATGAACAGGTAATGACAGCACATGAGTTTTATATGGATAATAAGTCAAAATGAATCTCAAAGTAATTATTTTTTATTTATTCAAACATATTTAATTCAATAAGCAAGTATATTTATAATCAAATTTAAAGTCATAAGATGAAGAAATACTAAAAAAAATGAAATAGAATAGAATAGAAACTAATATTGCTATATTATAAAGAATAAATTATACATGTAACATGTACGGTACAATGTAGGTATTCAAAACTGACAGTTTGTAAACAAATATATAAAATCTTTGACAGAATGGTACTGTGCTGTTGTCATTTGTCATAATATCCATCTTAAAACTAAATCTATGTTTTCCATGTCAAAATGCATGTTCCCAAAAAATATTTGACTACATACAGCTGTATAATCCCTAAAATATGAATTTTTTTCATTTATAATCTTGATTTTCATTTCCTTGATCTCATATACATGTAGACAAAGGCTTTATGAGTTATTGTCATCACTCTATGTCTGTTGTCAGTCTATTTGTCATTAAATGAGTTACATTTTCATCATCTGGTGTGAAATTAATCGGTCAATTTGATGTGTGATTGATTGATGGTGTTTAATGCCATTTTAAGCACTCTTTGCTATATTGTGCAGCCAGTTTTTATAGGTAGAGGGAACCGGAGTACCTGGAGAGAACCACAACCTTCAAAAGGATAACTGGTAATCCTAGTTAATTAAGACCAGAGTGGAAGGCACCTGTTGCAAGTAGGGTTCAACCGTTGGAACTCACAACCTCAATGTGGATTGGCAACTCGTAGTGATAACACATGTACTGTAGATGAACTACTTAGACTAAGCGGCCACCAAGGCATCCTAGGCCTAGCTGATTTGAATCAAATTTGTCCAGAATAAAAAAAATGATTGTCTTTATAAGAATTTCTCATTACCTTCTGATTAGCCAATAAAACATGGCTTCCAGAGGCAGTCTTTGATTCTGATTGGCCAATTTTGAAAAATCTCATCTGAAGGAGGTACATGGTGACCTTAAGTAAGGGAGAGAACTCATATATATACATGTTTTGAAGTTGTTTTTGTTTTTTGTAGCAATGTTTGAAAAATTAAATACTTCATCTGTTTGAGATTTGCCCTAAGATTTTGACTTCTTCATTAATTTTCAACCATTAAATATGTACAACGAAGAGAATTTACCTACATTTTGTGTAATTTAGAAATAAGTTTCTCCCAAGGCATACACATGTATTACAAAACAGTAAACAGTAATGGATCTTTCTACAAAGAACATGTGCACCAGCCAATTTATTACACAAACAAATGTACACCTACTGATGTTGTCCACTGGCATTATATTCAAATACCCCAAAACTGTTCATTTTCAGGATACCCCAAAAATAAAATGCCACAGTGAATTTTAACAAAACTTGAGTTATTGCCTTTAAGATAATTTTAATGATTTATTTTGTTTTTGGCTTTTATCTTGAAAATTCTTATGGATAGAATGAAATTTATATAGCAAAATGATCAGCTAGACAAAAATCTACAAATAAGTCTTATTGACCGAAATCTTCAGTCAGCTTTATATGAGTTATTGCTCTTCAATGACCTGTTTTACCTTTGCTGCAATGTTGGCTATTATCTTTAATTTTAAAACTGAAGTAGAAAGAGTGAAATTCTAAACAACAGAACTGAGCAGCTAGACATGCTCTTCAAAGAGGTCAACATGGCCAAAAAACATATGTTTACTCCCCATCCTTTAATTTCAGTTTTTACCTAGTTTTTATGTTTTTGGTGAAAATTACAGTATAGGTAAAGAGTAACAAAATATATCAGGCAGACTGTTGAAAATCTACAATTAAGTCAATTTATGACCAAAATGGTCAGTCGAATCATTAAAGAAATTATTCTGAAGGTTTTGAAGTCTTAGAACTGTCTGCCCTATGATCTTCCCCTACATGTCTTGCAAAATTTGCATGCACCAATGTTTTATTGCTAGGTATAATTTTTCTGCTAAATTACTAGAATTTTGATGTTAGCTGCCGTACTTCTTTTTTTTTACTTTTGTGCTTCTAAAATGTTAACTTCATCTTTGTACTTGTAGTTATTCAGCACATTTTTTTCTTTATTCATTTAAAAATACTTTTTAGCTTTTTAATTGTAAAACATCTTTCTATTTCAGCACAGTATTTAAATTTTTAAACTGAAATAATGCTTTAATTTTTACCTTGTTACTTATAAGTTTAAGAACTTTACATTGATACCATAAGTTAATGTCCCTATACAAATTTACAAGTTTGATATCTTTTCATCTGCATTTATGTACCAGTCCGGTATATGAGATACAATCATATTGACTGATTTCTTTTGTATTTAACCATACCAGAAAAACTAACACTCGCACTTCAGTATTTTAACAATAAAATTTATGAAGACATGATATTTGAAAGTATGAAAAACTGAAGAAGTTTAATTTTTGTTAATAAAGAAAATATAATTAATAAAATTATACTCGTTAATTGAAACTTTGATCAAATGTTCTTCATTCATTGCTGAATTTATTATATAGTTTCCATTAAAAGTTTTCAGGTCGAAGTATATTCATATTTACAGCAACTACAAATATCAATTAAATTTGTACTGAAAAAAATATGTACTTGTTAATGCTTCTTTACAAAATAATAAGGCAGTCAAGCATATACATGTATTCTAAAAAAAATGTTTTCCGCTGGGTGTGAATTTTTCAAATGACGTACAAAAAATTTAAAGAACCTTTTGTTTGTTTAATAATAAGAAAATCACACTCTATAGTTACAAAATGTGATCTGTAAATGTATGAGTTCTTTTACATTATGGGAGAAATATTTACTTGAATGATTTAGTGCTAAACAAGAATTGTGATCGAAATGTCTTTCAGGAAAAAAACAGTGAACAAAAGTAAGTAAATATTTTTATGAATATTTTCCAGAAAAGTTTTTACCAAATTGGGTTTTGAACTTGGGGATGATGTGATGCGAGATGTTATAACAGCAAAGCCAGGAGTTATAGAAAAAGTTTTAATGATGTTACGCACAAAACTGAATAGAGCAGAATGGGAATTAAAGAAGCAAACACAGAAGAGTAAAGGAGGGGGAGGTAAAAAAGAAAGTGATAAACCAGAAGCTGATCAGTATATGGGTAAGGACGGATATATCCAAGTTTTCTGTAAGCCAGTTTCTTCCTTCTGTCATTCTCACAATGTTGAATTATCTAAAGATATTTTGATAATTTTGTTGAAATGAATACAAGTTATAAAAAGTAATCTGTGAGCATAGATTACAAATTCATAAAGCCATATTAGGGGTTGACCATTTGATTTCTGGTTGGTTTGGGGGGGGGGGGATTTTGAAAACAAATATCATGGCCTGGTAAGAGCTGAAAATAATTAAACTTGCATAATACAGGGTGAAAATGAAAATTCTGCAGTGCGAAATGCAGGAATCAATTGTGTACAAAAGTGCAAATTTTCGTGCATCAAAACTGATGAAAAAACATGCATGCTTAGCAACAGATGAAAATGAAAAGTTGTTCCAGAAAATAAAACCCTACAAATTCAACAGTATTTTTTTTTTGTATCTAAAATTTCACTGCAATTACAATAAAACTCTGGGGTACTTTTCACTATATATTACGACAAAAATTGATCGTAAGTTATATGAAATGGTCATGACCTACAAGTATTTTTTCTCGAAAGTGTTTTGGTGAAATGAGTCACAGACCATTGGTAACTTTCAGCTGTTTTTAACCATGGATCACAGGAAGTTATTATTCCTCTTTTTCAAAATAGCCAATTTTCTTAGTTTTCAGGCTCAGTCAGGGTAATTTAAGAATGTAAATGTGTAAATGGTATATAAGTACATGTATGATATATTGTGATATTGATAGCAGTATAAAATCATTTGTAACTGTAAGCATTGAGCAGTATTTTTGTATTTGTTCTTCCAGTTGTAAAAGGCAATGACCCATGGGGTTGGGAGTCAGAATTTCTGGAAAGAGACTGGACTCGGGGAATAAAAGTTTATGGTAAAAACACCTGGCTAGACTAAAGTAGTAAAAAATTTGGGTGTTTTTTCCTAATTTAGATGCTAATTAAATACTGTACTAATTTTGGCAAATTAATTTAAAAATAATTGCATGCCTTTATATTTTAAAAAGAATCAATTAACATATTTATATTTAAATTTTTGTGTGATAAGATTACTAATTTTAGAGTTTTGTCTCGGCTTGACGGAGTGAAAAAGCTAGACCTAGGTATGCTGTTTCCATCACCGTCAGCGTCAACAATGCATTAGTTTGTGATTAGGTCAGTTTATGGGGAACCACTAGTGGTGGGTCAATGATATTTGGTATGCAGTAGTATCAGCATTGGCACACCTCATTTCCATGGAGATTATTTGGCCTGCCCCCTCAGTCATGGTCTATTGACTATGAAACTTTTGCTTAATTTACATCTATTAGTTTGTGATTAGGTCAGTTTATTGGGAACCACTAGTGGTAGGTTAATGATATTTGGTATACAGTTGTATTAGCATTGGCACATCTCAATTCAAAAGAGATTATTTGGCCCTGCCCCTCAGTCATGGTCTATTGACTTTAAAACTTTTTCTTAGTTTACATGTATTAGTTTGTGATTAGGTCAGTTTATTGGGAACCAATAGTGGTAGGTCAGTGGTATTTGGTATGCAGTTGTATTAGCATTGGCACATCTCATTTCCATGGAGATTGTTTGGCCCTATATATACCTCAAACTCAGAAATCTACCAATCAAAAAACTTGATTTGTTGTTTTGAGCACAACTGTTGTACTGAATAAAGTTTTATGACTGAGAGCCCAGAGGTACTAGGAAAGGAGGAAGATGACTAAACTACATTTAAAAATACCATTGTAAGTCTATTATTGGTTCACAACACATTTTCATGATAAGACGGGTTGAGTGCCTTTTGTCTATGAATTATTGCAAGATTTTCTATATTTTTATTTTCACATAGCTTACTATAACTTTCATCAGTCAGTTAAATGGACAATTGAAACCTCCTAAATTTATACTATCAGAAGGTTGGGCTACAAGTACAGTCATATTAATCTAAAATAGAAAAATATTTTTTCGATGGTATTTTCAAACATGGTTAGACCATTTTAATGTATTGTTCTGTTTCTATTTACTCATATATTCATATACTGCACTGTGAACATCCTGTTTTAGGCTAGTTGATGTACAAACCAATGTATATGATCTTACTATGTTAAAATGACTAAGAAAATTACTTCTCAATTAAATTATATATCTTACAAATGTCCTAGGAATTTTGCTTTGAAAATTTGTTATGAAGAAAATTTCCTTCAAGATAGTTTATTAAGTTTATTACTTCACCCTTTTTTAAGTTATATTTGCATGATGTAAAAATCAGGTGTTAATTAAATGGCGATTAGTTTTTTGCTCTTCAAAATCTTTACACTTAACCTAACATTTGTGTTTTTGTGATCTATTGTAAATCTATAAACTCATTTCATTAACATTAGCAGTTATATTATATAAAAGTTTATAATTTCAATTTTATATCCCCACTCTAGGAATGGAGGTTGTTTTGCAATCACCTTGTCTGTCTGTCTGTCTTTGTCCATCTTTTTGTCAAATAAATATTGCCATTACACTTTTATCAGGAACTGCATAATAGAATTACTTCATATTTGTCAGCAGCTTGATAGTGATGGGTTATAATGTGTGAACGCTACTTCTTGTTTGCCAATATTTTGAATTTTCAACAATTTTAAATTAAAACAAATCTTTTCATCACACTTGTCTTAGTAACTACTAAACGGAATGAACTCATATTTGGTTAGCAGCTTAACAGTGATTTGCTGTAACTTTTCAGATCTGCAGGACACCTTCTTCCGGTTTTCTGTTTGTGTGTGGGATCAAGCACAAAATTGTGTGCAACTTCTTATTTGTTTTATTTTAATCTATTTTTTTTTTAGTTTTATCTCCAATAAATGTTTTGGAAGATATAAAAATATGTTGCACAATTTCTGCATTCATGAGTAACAATTTATTTTGGTAACCCAGTGCTGCCACAGTTTGAAGTTTTTAATGATTTTTATATATATGTAACTTTTCTAAATAACTAAATTCTTCTTTCATTTTAGGATCACCAAGAGGAAAAGGAATGAAACAAGACACAACTAGAGGGTATGTATTTTGAAATAAAAATTAAAGATTTTTCATGATAATTCAATTCAAGAAATCAAAATACTTTTCAGAAGAATAATTTGCCATTGCACGTTAAACAGCTAGACAGACAAACAGACAGAAAACCATGCATGCTAGCATGTTAACAGTTTTAACCATCGATAGTTGGACCCATTATATGCATTCAAAAGTAACATTTAATTGTAGTCTACATACATATACATGTTACCACTATTTTCTGGAGATAGGATACCATTACATATATTATTCATGGGAGAAGGAGTAGAAAAAGTTAATAATTGTTTCCTTGTTTTTTCATCCAAATTAAATATTGCATTAGCAACTATTATTCTTATTTTTTTAATCAAATGAAAAATAGATTGAAAGGCCTTCTATTATCACATCATAGACACTGCAAAAGACTTTTTATAAAAAACATATATGGACGTTTTAATTGAAATGACAAGATGAATAAGGCCTTTGCTATACGGCTTATGGGTACAACTCATATGAATAATCAGATTCTAGAAATGATTATGCAAGGGAAAAATTCTGCTTTTCCGAGATTTCAATGTGTGGTCAGAATATTCCATTTGCAAAATAAGGCCTCTGATGGTAGAATTAAAGAGAAGGTGAAAATTTAAGAGTATTAAATTCTCTAGCTGCATTTAGAGAATTTTTTTATGAAAGCATACTAGTGGTTAGAACTGACTGCATATTGAAAGTTGAAACACCATGCAAGAAAAGGGATAAGGAATGTACCATAAGATATTACAAATAATGAAAAGTTTTGCCGTTAATTACAGATACCCTTATCTTCAGAGAGATCCTCAGCTTGAGTTGATAACTCTCTACAATCTAGACAGGTATAAATATACACATGCAGGAATGAGGGTCAACACCGTGGGATATATGTTATGTTTTGCTTTTTACAGTACACACAAGATGATTCAATTAAATCACTGTGAATCATGTTGATTATTGGTGATTCACAAATCACTGTGAATCATGGTGATTATTGGTGATTCACCATTCAGTACAGCACAGTGAACACATGGATAAATACACCTGTTGTTGTATATTCATAATACATAGACAGAATTCATACTGAATCACCAAGAATCACCAGCCAAAGTGATTTTGAACTGATTCACCTTTTGTTTACTATACATATAAACGGTTACTTTTTTGACAAGAGAAGGTGTACTCTTTTGTTTTTATCTTCATTGCTTGGATCTGGACTGCACTGAAATGAGTCTACACTTGTCTATTATTTTCATTTTCTTTTTTTACAGCTTCAGGTATAAATTGTGATAATTCAGTATAGAAGCTTTTATCACTAGTATTGTACACTAACTTTAGTCAGGCCTTATATTTTAAACTTTTTGTAGAAGTTCTTTTGATTTCTTTGTTTCAGTATAGCCTAGGCATCTTGCAATGGTTAGTCAGTCCACATCTTTTTTGGAGGGAATATTGGTTCCCATCTGTCCCTGTACCAATAGGTCTTCAATCTGTATTCAAAGGTTCCTTCAGAGTTTGCTTCTAGAATTATTTTTTGCACAGTTGTGACAATTATATATTGGATATCCCTTAGATAGAGGAATTTGACGTGGTGTTTTTTCTTTGTTATTGTCATATTGGTTGATATGTATAGTAAAAGTAGGTTTTCTGTATTTTTTCTCCCATTTTAAAAATATTTGGTGATAATTTTTCACACAGCTATCAATTGGTAAAAGAATGGTAATGGCAAACCAACTCTACAATAATAAACCAATATTACACTGTACAATTCATTCTCAGGGTGCCCTATGGAAATTTTTTTCCATTTTTATGCCCCACATACGATAGTAGTTGGGGCATTATGTTTTCTGGTCTGTGCATTCTTTCGTCTGTCCCGCTTCAGGCTAAAGTTTTTGGTCAAGGTAGTTTTTGAGGAAGTTGAAGTCTAATCAACTTGAAACTTAGTACACATGTTCACTATGATATGATCATTTTGACCCCAATTTCACGGTCCACTGAACATAGAAAATGATAGTGCGAGTGGGGCATCCATGTACTATGGACACATTCTTGTTTTTTTTTATTAAACCATTGAATTAAAGGAGATGTAGGATATAAGTCAAATAGACAGCAACCAAAAACAAAAAACACAACTTAAGGTCAGCATGCCATACCGTCTTCAGCAATAGACAGATGTGTATTACCAATTTGAAAGTTTATAGACAGAAAATTGGCATAATCTTGAATTCTTTTATTTGATTTTTAAAATACAATACAATATTTTAAGATATTTACAAGACTACAAAAAAGATCGGACTGACGCCAGGTATTTATATATGCTTTTATTTATAAAAATCATTCATGTCCTAAGCCATTTTATATATATTAATCAATCTATCTGCTAAATTTGTTCTTTGCATTAGACTATAGTTATAATTGCCTCTCACTTGCAACCCTTTTGTACACAAAGAAATGAATTATTTTGAAACCTTGTATTTGTAATATAAATATATGTTTTCACTTTAGTTTTTACAGGTAAAATAAATTTTCATGCATCTATATTTTAAAACATTCATGAAGAGTTGAAAACATTCATGGAGAGTTGTCTCATTGGCACTCATACCACATGTACATCTTCTTATTTATATGAAAGTAAGGATTTACAAAGATATTTACAATTTCTGAAAAGCTTGCCCTACGGCCAACTGGAAATAATTGCCAACAATCGGATTCAATTGTTGCCTCATTTAAAAAATTCTATCAAACTTTTATCCTCTTGAAAATAACTGGTTAAAAATAATTCTTTGAGATTATTCTTTGTACTGATTCCATGCTTGACCACAAATAGGAAACCACTTCTATAAATAAATAAATTGAGGTTTAGATTGCAGACTTAGTGATGGTTTCTTTTTGTATTTCAATGTTAATATAAATTAAAACCCATTTGTAAACAATATTGTCTGCCAAAAAAGTAGTAAAAATATGCAAACTCTATAAATAACTATTAGTCACCTTGTTTTGACAGACAATGCTGATGATTCCTTGTAAGATTTGAATTGAAATATCCACCATTTTAGCACGGATAAAATATGTTTGTAAAAATTAGTATTCCTCAAGATATCTTATATAGAACCTATAAAAACCATCTGATACTAATCGACTGTTTCAAATTGATTGCGTTCTTTCTTTCAGGGATGAGAAAATGAATTAAAAATGCCCTTCAAATATGATGTCTTTATAATTTGCTACTTTGTCAGCACAACCTGTTTATTTGCATCCCGAATCACTTCCCAGTGTTTAGCTGTAAAACTCTTGGTTTATTTACTCCAAATGTGTTCTGTCTTATCATCAGGGAAATCTTGGTAAACTTTTAAAATCTTTTCTGCTTGGTGAATAATGTTTAGGCTTTATTTTCCTGAACCAAAAAAAAACAGAAATTAGAAAGTTTGCCAGGCAAGTTTGATGGAAAAATAGTCAAAAATATTTTTAAAATATGGAAAATTGACTACAATGGAGGTTTGAAAAGGGGGAAAGATTGCAGTTCAAGCACAAGATACATTTAAACTAGACATCTCCGTTTTTTTAATATATACATACAGATTCTAGATTTCTTTTCTTTCGATTTGAGACCCAAATAATACCAATGCAAATATTAGGTAAAAGTCTGAGTCAGCCTTTTCCTGCCATTTAAAAAAAATTAAATATCTCGAAAAGGAGCTCCATAACCTATCAATATTTTTAGCTTATTTTGTTCCTTAACTAATGCTCTTCTGACTTAAAGTATCAATTTTGAATTCTAGATTTTTAAAATTTCACCTAAGTACATCCTTAAGTAACATCACATCACAAAAGTAAAGCATAAAATATCGCAATAAAACTATATGAATGCACAGCATTGATATGAGCTGCCATTCCATGTAGAAATTAATTTTGTGAACTGTTCCATATTTGTCTCTAGACTGAAATGCTGTTATCTTTATCTTCATACATCATAATTAGATGCTATTAGCAGTGTGTTTATATAGTAATATTTCTACTTTATCACAACAGCTGATTGTTTTTTTCTTAAAGGTAATGGTATTTTAAAGTTTTAAAATTGTCTTCTATTTTTAGAATTTCCTTGAACTCATTTACTTTATTTATACGTTTGTAATTCTGTAGTGAAACAGAAGTGAATAATTTGACTTTTACATGATGATTAATACAAACGTTTTTTTTTTTTAAATTATCAGAGAAGATTGCATATGTCAAAAAGAAGGGTTTTGATGTTGTGAATGTTAAGCAGCCAGGAACCAATCAAAACATTTGTAATATATGCCTTTTATAGCCGACTGTTTTTCTCATTGTTGAAGGCCGTACATATGCCTATAATTGCTTACATCCACTTCATTTGAACTTTGGTAGATAGTTGTCTCATTGGCAATCATACAACATCTCCTTATTTTTATATGGTGTTTTACAGATATTTAATGGGAATCATTTTCATTCCATGTCCTATTTACTACATTTTATATAATAAATCATATCTTTTGTTCCCAAAAGTAATTCAGACATTCAAATACTTTCTTTTCAGCAATATGAAGAAAGAAGAATTTGGAATTAATTTTGACAAGATGTGGAAAATTTTATTTTTTTAATTTTACTTTATTCTTTCACAGGCCAGATTACCCAAGTATCCCAAAACACAAAATTATTAGATCAATAGCTGAAAGTGATGCTGTACCAAGGATTTTATTTGAAGAAAAAGAACAAGAATGTCTAGCTAAAGATGAAACTATAAGGGTAAGATATTATGAAACCGCAATTTATGTCAACTATAAGCACTCTATGTATTAAAACCAGTTGCAGATCCAAGATTTTGAAAAGGGGGGCTTGCCTAGGCAATATGTTTGATTGAAATGAGACTTGTTAAAAGGACTATGTATTTACCTTATAGGTAGTTTATTAAGGGGGCTTGGAACCCCGAATCCCCCCTCCTAACAAAACAAAACACAAAACAAAACAAAACAAACGAAACAAAATAAAACAAAACAAAACAAAACAAAACAAAACGAAACTAAACGAACAAAACAAATTCAAAATCTGCACCTGAAAACTGCTGAATTATACATGCAACTTCTCTAAGAATGTTCATTGCATTTTAACAATTAGCACCTCTCATTTACAGACATGATAGAAAATACAATCTTTCCTATATCTACTAAAATTGGGGGAATGGAGTGATGTTAACATTTTAAGGTCTGTTCACAACTTTTTCTAACATAAGATTATATGTAGTTCAAGAAGGTGTAATTTTTGTTTTCATATTTTCCAGATTCTCGAGGCCAAAATTCACAGAATGGAACATTTAATTCATTTGAAAGATGTGAGAATAGATGACTTACAAAACAGACTAGAAACAATGCGTCCAACTGGAGTACGGAGGTAAAAAGACGCATGTGATAGAAAGTACTGACACCTTCAGGGATGGACAATGCTATATATATATATATAAATCATCACTATATACCTGTATTGTTAGAGCACAGGTGAAAGTGAATCTAACTTTATGTTTGTATTTATGTCTCCACTGAATAAGCCATTCAAGTTTGTACATAATTTGATTACTGTGGATTCATTTATTTTTAGAGGTTACCAATTTTTGTGGATTGAGGGAGAGAAAAAAATTGGTCGTGGATACTAAATTTTGTGGATTTTAACAAATTCTGCTGAAAACTAAAATTTGTGGTCCACTTTGTGCACAGAATCCATGAAAATTAGCATACCATGAATAATAATGAATCCACAGTACTGCTTCTCGGATTGCTGTTACGAAGGGATGATTTAAATTGTGTCACTCACTTGCAAAACAAAAATAAGTGACTGAGCACCTGTATTAACCTTTGACATTTCTATCAATGTAATAACATGTTCACCACATGTACCTCTTGCTTTGGTTTTGCTTTATGAAGTTTTGACTTGGCCAGGTTTTTAAAAATTCACTTGCAATCCTGAATATTATTTACAGATTTAGCTATTACAGAGCTAGTAATTAAATAAATTGGTGTTAGAAAGATGTTTTATGAATGAATGAAAAGAAATAAGCATTTATATCATAAATTGTATTGGCATTTGATCTTTTGCAACATTTGAAATGATAATTTTCAAACATTTTTGATAAACAGCATTTTCCTTGTAAAAGGTTTATTTTCTTATGTTTCAAATGGACATTAAGTTAAAATTAATTTATATGAAAATAAACTATGATCGTTGATGTTTATTACATATAAAAGATTTAAAATAAAATGGGGATTTTAATATTTTAAAAATTTGCTCTTGATATTTTGTAGGATGTAAAATCTTAAATTGGATACAACAAATGGGTAAACATGGACATTGTTTGCAATATATATGTTATATTTTTATTGATCAATGTTGACAGTGCACTTGAAAAATTATAATGGTATCACAGTTGTTTATTATTGTTGGTAAAATGGTTACAGAACGTCCTCGGTTTGTTGTTACATCATGTCTATAAATAAACATTCCTTAAAAATCATCTAACTCTGTGTTATAATGTTTTGTTTTTTCACACAGTTTAAATTTGTTTGTAAAGATAATTTTGTTGGAAATTTGTTTTGGAAATACATTGAATATTGAAACAAATAATAAACAAATTTTTGTCTGCAAGTTTTATTATAACCAGTGCTTATTCCAGATACATTTATTACAAAACATATCATTAATATAAATAAAGTGTAATGAAATATATAAATAGAAAATTAATTTATAAGAAAGTGTTTATTTAGATTTATTTAAAAAATTAGATTGAACATATATAATCCCAATGACATGGAAAGTTAAAAAAAATTCTGCATAGATATTTATTTAATTGAGCATCATGGAAAATTGAAAAATAAAATCAAGATAGATTCTGAGGAACTGAACAATATACTGAGAAAGTTTAAGTGTCAAAAAGTTTAGGCATCTTGTTATTCTAATGATAAAACATTCAGGGGACTTGATTGACAGAGTAGACATGGTAGAAACTAAACGTTGCATCATTTCTTTTTTCACCAAAGAATATAGATCATCAGTTCATTGCAGAATGAAATTTGAGAAATTTTTGGAACATTTTATTATACCAAAAAAGGGGAATAGAAGAATTTCCCAATAATCAAAACTGGCATTTTAAATCAGCAGCATTACTTGTACGGAGAATCCAATCAAATGTTGCAATTATTATCACATGACCAATTGAAAATTTATAATATCTGCAGATAATAATTTCTGAATTTACTGTATTTGAAAAACTTTTATTTGTGAATCATACATTATTTTTTTTTTACAAAAATCATGTGATGAAATGAATTAATGTCTGTGATATTTTTTGTGTAGTGTTTTATAGTACGTACTGTAATTTTTTCATTACTAAATACCTGGATCCTTGGTCATAAAACTTTACTCAGTACTCAGGGTACAAAATGTGTGCTCGAAACACCAAATCTAGTATTTTGATTGGTTGATTTCTAAAGTTTTATGACCGCAAGGCCAGGTTCAATGGCTTAGTGTAAAGAGTAGTGGTTTATGGGTGGTTGAATGGTTTTTTATTTGCTCTCAAAATCGAAAAAAACCAACCTCTACTAATAAATTCTTCTAAGTAGATAATGTGTACTGTTTAACATGAAAATTATGGACCATCAAAGTAAAATTTTATGTGCTTATTTTTTTAGAAATAAATGTATTGAAAAGCTTAATCTTTAAGCTGGAAAAATGATGTTTTGGTCTTTTATATGAAATTTATGGTGTAAAAGGAATAATAAAAAGGAGTATGGTTTAAATATGTTTTTAGGATTATTATTTTGAAAATAATATGAGAAATATGGAAAAATATGAAATATAAGCTGGTTATTGATATGGAAATCTATTGATGATGAGATTATGAATACATATATATATATTTACATCTGAGCCTGTGAAATGTTATTTACTGTATAGTTCTTAAAATTATGTACATTCCGTCCATTTGTTTCTTTCCATTAACAATCAGTTTTATACATTGTAAATTTTACACCATTTTATTTTGTATTTTCTGTTGCTGTTCCATTTGAAAAAAGCATTAATTATTTCAAATCTTGAAAGAGTCTGTAATCAAGAATAAAGTCTTAAAGAATAAAGTTTTGTTATTAATTAATGTATAAATTTTTTGATTGAGTTACTCTTTATTTTTGGTGATGAACTTAATTGATTGTGGATTTTTGTCTCGCCTGTGACGAAAGTCGCAGAAAGTGAGACATAGGTATTACTATCCGGCAGCGGCGGCGTAAACTATTTGTATAAAGCTTTATATTTCAGAAGGTAGAAGACCTGGATGCTTCATACTTTGTATGCAGATACCTTATGTTACGAACTTTCCGTCTGTCATATGTCCAATGTCCTTGACCTTATTTTCATGGTTCAGCGACTGCTTGAAAAAAAAGTTTAGTTTTTTTGTTATGTAAATTTCTCACTTATTATGAGTAATAGGATAACTATATTTGGTATATGGGTTCCTTGCAACGTCTACATGTCCATCAGACAGGGTTCACCTGACCTCAGCCTCATTTCATGGATCAGTGATCAAGGTTAAAGTTACGTGATTAGGTCCGTTTCTCAGATACTACAAGCAGTAGGTAAGCTATATGTGGTGTATGGAATGATTATAAGGGATACATGTCAGTCTGGCAGGTTTCATCTGACCTTGACCTCATTTTCACGGTTCATTGGTCAATGTTAAGTTTTTGTGTTTTGGTCTGTTTTTCTAATACTATAAGCCATTGGTCAACTATATTTGGTGTATGGAATGATTTTTAGGTGTACATGTCTGTCTGGCAGGTGTCATTTGTCCTTGACCTATTTTCATGGTTCATTGGTCAATGTTAAGTTTTTGTGTTTTGGTCTGTTTTTCTTATACTGTATGCAATAGATCAACTATATTTGGTGTATGGAATGATTGTAAGGTGTACATGTCCAACTGGCAGGTGTCATCTGAACTTGACCTCATTTTCATGGTTCAGTGGTCAAAGTTAAGTTTTTGAGTTTTGGTCTTTTTTTCTAATACTATATGCAATAGGTCAACTATATTTGGTGTATGGAAATATTTTATGATGCACATGTCAGTCTCGCAGGCTTTATTTGACCTTGACCTCATTTTCACGGTTCATTGCTCAGTGTTAAGTTTTTGTGTTTTGGTCTGTTTTTCTTAAACTATAAGCAATAGGTCAACTATATTTTTTGTATAGGATTGTAAGCTGTATATGTCTGTCTGGCAGGTATCATCTGACCTTGACCTCATTTTGTTGGTTCATTGGTCAATGTTAAGTTTTCATGGTTAAGTTTGTTTCTTGGATACTATAAGCAATAGGTCAACTATATTTAATGCATAGGTTGATTGTAAGGTGTATATGTCTGCCTTGCATGGTTCATCTGACCTTGACCTCATTTTCATGGTTCATTGGTCAATGTTTAGTTTTCTTGGTTAAGTCTGTTTCTTAGAAACTATAAGCAATAGGTCAACTATATTTAGTGTATTGAATGCATGTAATGTTGATAGTTGTAGTAAAAGCTTAATATTTAGGACTATCAACATAATATCAATGGTTAGTAAAGAAGGCGAGACATTTCAGCGTGTGCACTCTTGTTTGCTATTAGTTCTGAAAGCTCCTGATCTGAGGTCTAAACTCCTGACAATTTCCTAATCTCCTGATCAGAAATTCACAGTCTATCAAAACCATCTCAGAAATAGTTCATTTTTATACGACCGCAAAAAAATTTTTGTGGTCGTATATTGGTATGACGTTGGCGTCGTCGTCGGCGGGGGCGTCGTCCGAAGACACATTGGTTTTCGCACTCTAACTTTAGTTTAAGTGAATGGATCTCTATGATATTTTACCACAAGGTTCAATACCACAAAAGGAAGGTTGGGATTGATTTTGGGGGTTATGGTACCAACAGTAAAGGACAAAGGGGCCAAAAATAGGCATTTTAGTAACTTCCAGACATAACTTGTGTGTTAGTGTATGGATCTCTCTGACATTGTACCACAAGGTTCCATATCACAAAAGGAATGCTGGGATTGATTTTGGGGGTAATTGCCTCTAAATTTTAGGAATTAGGGGCCAAAAAAGGGGCAAAAAACAAGCATTTTTCTAGTTTCATCACAATTACTTGTGTGTAAGTGTATGGATCTTTCTGAAATTGTACTACAAGGTTCCATATCACAAAGGGAAAGCTGGAATTGAGTTTGGGGGTACTTGCCGAATTGTTTAGGAATTGGGGGCCAACAAGGGGCCAAAAATAAGCATTTTTCTAGTTTCCAGACAATAACTTGTGTTCAAGTGTATGGATCTCTCTGAAATTGTACTGCAAGGTACCATACCACAAAGGGAAGGCTAGGATTGATGATGGGGGTAATTGCCCCAATATTTTAGGAATTAGGGGCCAAAAAGGGGCAAAAAACAAGCATTTTTCTAGTTTCAGGACAATAACTTGTGTGTAAGTGTATGGATCTTTCTGAAATTGTACTACAAGGTTCCATATCACAAAGGGAAAGCTGGGTTTGAGTTTGGGGGTAATTGCCCTAAACACTAGAATTTGGGGCCAAAAAGGGGCCAAAAAACACATTTTTCTAGTTTCCAGACAATAACTTGTGTTCAAGTGTATGGATATCTCTGAAATTGTACTGCAAGGTACCATACCACAAAGGGAAGGCTGGGATTGAGTTTGGGTGTGATGAATCATAAGGGGGTTAAAAAATTTGGGGGGGGGGGGTTTCCTTTTTTTTCTTTTTTTCCTTTTTTTTTTTTTTTAAATTTTCCATTTTAAGTTGGTTATTTCTGATTTATATTTAAAAGCAAATAATGATATGGTAGGAGATACACACCAAACAGGATGTGTAAATTATTATATAATAAGTATTGTGCAGTAGCACGAAATTTTCAATTGCACAGTATTGCACAATAGCAAGAAATCTTCAAGAATCTGTGCAAAAGAAGATACTTCATATAAATTGCTTATTTCTTGACCAATTTCAATGGGGTTTTATTCTTGAATTCTTGGGGTTCTTAAATATGCTGAATCTAACCGTGTATTTAGTTTTTGGATTTTGGGCCCCGTTTTTAAATTGGTCCACATTGAGGTCCAAAGGGTCCAAAATTAAACTTTGTTTGATTTCATCAAAAATTGAATTATTGGGGTTCTTTGATATGCCGAATCTAACCGTGTATTTAGATTCTTAATATTTGGTTCCGTTTTCAAATTGGTCTACATTAAGGTCCAAAGGATTCAAAATTAAACTTAGTTTGATTTTAACAAAAATTGAATTCTTAGGGTTCTTTGATATGCTTATTCTAACCATGTATTTAGATTTTTGATTTTTGGGCCCCGTTATCAACTTTGTCCACATTGAGGTCGAAAGGGTCCAAAATTAAACATTGTTTGATTTCATCAAAAATTGAATTCTTGGGGTTCTTTGATATGCTGAATCTAACCATGTATTTAGATTTTGGATATTGGACCATAATAGGTGAATGTCCAATTTAAAATTTTTAAGTTCTTAGACCACATTCATTCTGTGTCAGAAACCTATGCTGTGTCAAATATTTAATCACAATCCAAATGCAAAGCTGTATCAAGCTTGAATGTTGTGTCCATACTTGCCCCAACTGTTCAGGGTTCGACCTCTGCGGTCGTATCAAGCTGCGCCCTGCGGAGCATTTTATTCTGTCTTGATTTCATTTTACACATGTGGTAACGTCGGAAATCTATGCAGTGTTTAGATCAATACAAAAATGTCACATGATATCACTTTTTCAACCTCCACATTGAAACAAAAGATCTCTGCTCTCCTATGATTTAAGACCAACATTTTTATGCCCGACCTAGGGGCAATATGTTTTTCGGTCTGTCCTTTCGTTCGTTCGTCCATCTGTCCCGCTTCAGTTTTTGGTCAAGATAGTTTTTGATCAACATGAAACTTAGTACACATGTTCCTAATGATATGATCTTTCTAATTTTAATGCCAAATTAAAGTTTTGACCCTAGTTTCACGGTCCACTGAACATAGAAAATGATAGTGCGAGTTGGGCATCCGTTTACTATGGACACATTCTTGTTTAGAATATATTGATATATACTGAAGCTGTGCTATTTGCGCAGTCAAATTGCATTGATCGTATAATGGGGGTCTCATTTGGGAAGTCTGATCCCGGATCCTGCTTATTGTTTTGTCAGAATCCTGTATCCCGCTTATCATTGCAATAATAGGGCTTGTAATTTGACTTTCACATGTCACGCTGAAGAAAAATCGGTATATCCCGCGTCATGCTTAGACCCCAATGAGACCCACTATAATCATTTGTGATATGCAGTCACCGACCATATCTACTTGTTTATGATGTTGACAATGCGCTTCCTAGAGTTTTATTTATGACGTCATTAAAAGTATTAATTTGTTCCCTTCAAATTAAAAAATGATGGTATTTTCAAAAGTTAAATGAGCATTACAGGTATCATGGTTTGGTTGATCTCCATAAATATGTCACCGATGAGAAGGGATATGTTCTATTGTTCTATACACTCCTTTCCTCATATTCTTGGTTGACATAATTGACTGAAACTTATCACCTGATTTTGCTTGCCATGATGAGCATGATGGGTAATACTAGTGGAGCTGGAACTACTTACTCTTCTGAAGCACCTGCATTAAACTCAGGTGATAGGTCGGGTATTTGTTTCCCAATCTTAAGTTTTCTATGTAGTGTTTGTTGACTGAACTTGTATTTCTTTCTTCTGGCAGTAATCATAAAATTAAGAAGATGTGGTATGACTGCCAATGAGACAACTCTCCACAAGAGACTAAATGACATAGAAGTTAACAACTATAGGTCACCGTATGGCCTTCAACAATGAGCACTATTAAACCCATACCGCATAGCTATAAAAGACCAAGAAATTACAAATATAAAAAAGTTAAACGAGAAAACTATCGACCTGATTTATGTACAAAACAATGAACGAAAAACAATTATGACATACAGCATTAATACACTGAATTACATGCTCCTGACTTGGGACAGGCACATACAGAATGTGTTTGGGTTAAACTAGGTTTCTGGCGATAAACCCTCCCATAACCTGG